GCCACGCCCCCGCCGCCAGCCTGCCAGCCTGGGGTCGCGCCCGCTCCTCAGCCCGGGGGTCTGATCGCCCCGCAAGCCGGGTTCCCGCATGCCTCGCAGCCGGGCGACTGCCCAGAGCTGCCGCCCGACCTCCTACTGGCGGAGTCAGCGGACCCCGCGTCCGCCCCGGCGCCGGAGGAGGAGGCTGAAGGCCCGGTGGCAGTCCAGAGCCCCCGCGGGCAGCTGGGCGTGGGCCAGAGCCCGGGCCTGAGCCCGGGCCCAGGCGTAGTGCTGTACCTGTGCCCCGAGGCACAGTGCGGACAAACCTTCTCCAAGAAGCACCAGCTGAAGGTGCACCTGCTGACGCACAGCAGCAGCCAGGGCCAGCGGCCCTTCAAGTGCCCCCTGGGTGGCTGCGGCTGGACCTTCACCACTTCTTATAAGCTCAAGAGGCACCTGCAGTCGCACGACAAATTGCGGCCCTTCGGCTGCCCAGCCGAGGGATGTGGCAAGAGCTTCACGACGGTGTACAACCTCAAGGCGCACATGAAAGGTCATGAGCAGGAGAACTCATTCAGATGCGAGGTGTGTGAGGAGAGCTTTTCCACACAGGCCAAGCTCGGTGCCCATCAGCGCAGCCACTTTGAGCCCGAGAGGCCCTACCAGTGCGCGTTTTCTGGCTGCAAGAAGACGTTTATCACAGTGAGTGCCCTGTTTTCCCATAACCGCGCCCATTTTAGGGAACAGGAACTCTTTTCCTGCTCCTTTCCTGGCTGCAGCAAGCAGTATGACAAGGCTTGTAGGCTGAAAATTCACCTGCGGAGCCACACGGGCGAGAGGCCTTTCCTATGCGACTTTGATGGCTGCGGCTGGAACTTCACCAGCATGTCTAAACTCTTAAGGCACAAAAGGAAGCACGAGGATGACCGGAGGTTCACATGCCCTGTGGAAGGCTGTGGGAAATCTTTCACAAGGGCCGAGCATTTGAAAGGCCACAGCATAACCCACCTGGGCACAAAGCCTTTCGTGTGTCCGGTGGAAGGCTGCTGTGCCAGGTTCTCCGCTCGCAGTAGCCTCTACATACATTCCAAGAAACATCTGCAGGATGTGGACACTTGGAAAAGCCGTTGTCCAGTCGCCACTTGCAATAAGCTCTTCACATCCAAGCACAGCATGAAGATGCACATGGCCAAAAGGCACGACCTTGGCCACGATCTCTTAGCTCAGCTAGAAGCTGCAGATTCTCTTACGCCCAGCAGCGAACTTACCGGCCAGGGTCAGAGTGATCTCAGTGAAGCCGAGATAGTGTCTCTCTTCTCTGATGTTCCTGGCAATAGTTCTGCTGCGGTGCTGGACACAGCATTGGTGAACTCTGGTATCTTGACTATTGATGTGGCTTCTGTCAGCTCAACTCTGGCAGGAAACCTCCCTGCCAATAATAATTCCTTAGGGCAGGCTGTGGACCCTCAGGCCTTGATGGCTGCCAATGACCATCCTCAAAATCTGGATACCTCTCTCTTTTTTGGAACCACGGCTGCTGGTTTTCAGCAGAGTCCCTTAGATATGGATGATGTCTCAAGTGTGAGTGTGGGGCCATTGGGATCTCTGGGCTCTTTGGCCATGAAAACCTCGAGTCCACAGCCCCAGGCTTTGACACCCAGCAGTAAGCTAACAGTGGACACAGATGCTCTGACTCCCTCGAGCACCCTTTGTGAAAATAGTGTCTCAGAACTACTGACACCGACCAAAGCAGAATGGAGCGTACATCTTGGCCCTGACTTCTTTGGACAGGAGGAAGAAACTCAGTTTGGATTCTCCAATCCAACCGGAAACCATGGTTCTCAGAAAGAAACAGATCTTATCACGGTGACTGGCAGCTCATTTTTGGTATGAACCAACTCTATTCATTCTGTGCCTCGTGGCGTACTTTTACTAAGCTCAATCTTCAGGGTATATTCTGGACTAAGCGTTCAAATGCAGTCATTTCTTACTGGTTTGGAAAAGAACTGCACCCTGAACAACAAATTTGGAATTAAATTCTGATCTGGTGTCTGGAACTGACAAGTTGCAAAACCCTGAGCAAGTCACTTACCCTATGTGAGCCTTAAGGTCCTTATTTGTAAAATGAGGTGGTTTGAAGAGATAGATTCTAAGGTATTTTAAGCCTTGTGATTTTTTAATAATATTTGTTACCTTGAAAAATATGAGGACATTTTTAATGATGATGATGTTGTGTTTTTCCAAACATGTATAAAAGTTACATATTATAATAACATTCACGTCATTTGCAACCACTGCTACAACTTTTCATGAACAATATGATTTAAGAATTCTCTACTTAATCCCCCTTCTTCAGTATTATTTTTGAACAGATACCAGATATCATTTCATCCATAAATTTTCAGTATATTTCTCTGAAGTATATGGTAAGTCATGGACAGAAAACTATAATTCCATTGTTGGTAACAGTAATTAACATTAACAATAATTCCTTAATACCTGTAGATATGCAATCATGGGTCAGACTTTCAATTGTCTCTTTAACTTTTAAGATATTGTAAATAATTTGGATATATATGTCATCTTTTTAATCTTTCTGTCCCTTCATCTTTTTTTGTCATTATTTACGAAATGAGATTTTTCACATGTATCATCTTTCATAGTCTAGGTTTGCTGATTACAACTCTGTGGTAGCGTTTACTTTTTCTATCCTCTCTTTCCTCAGTTTGGTGGTTGGTGATTTTTTTTTTAGCGTGAATATTTCATTTTCAAAAAAGCTTTTGACATAGGGCATATGTGCTGGCCTGAGAGAGTGAGAGAGAGAGAGAGGGAGAGAAAAAGAGTGAAAGTGAGAAATCACCCCACAGGGGGATCACCATGCCACAATCCCTTCTTCTCCATTCTCCTCCTGGGATTACGGCCAGGCATGCACATGCACCTGATGGGATTTTCAAGTCTCCAGGTCCTGAATTTGAATCTCATTCAGCCACCTGGGAGTCCCGCACCTTAACCACTACGCCAACTGCTGACTCCTGTTGTGTTCTTTTTTTTTTTTCTTTTTTTTTTTTTTTTTAAGAAAGAAAGGTCTGTTGTTCTTTCTTTTTGATATTAGGAGCTGCTGCTGACCAATGCATTAATTAATACTTACCTGTGCTTCTGATATGATGAATTGTCCTTGTAGAGTTAATGTTGATTAGTACAGGAAGAAATGCTGTTTAAGGCACTTATAAAAGTTTAGTTGAAATATTATTCAAAGCCAGTTTTTTTAAAATAAATAATGATAGAACTAACAAGAAAAAAGAAATTGAAACCAAAAAAAAATGTGTTCATTATTCTCACTGTTGTGTATCCTTCTGACCTCTTTTAATGATGAGAGGTGCTGTCATAGAATTTTCCTGCCAGAACTTTACATGAAACAGACTCAGTGTCAAATTTGGGCTCTGTGATGTTGCATAAATGGCCCTGAATAAGTTAGTTTCACTAAGACTCAATTTCCTAGCTGCTGTCATATCAATGCACATACATTTCAACCATACCTTAGATTTTCTTCTCTCTTAATTGTCCACGTGTAAAAAAATATTATATATTTTGGCATATTTTTTGGAGTATATTTTGGCAGATATTGATGAATTTATATCAAGTTACCCTCTCAGCCCTTCCTGCTGTTAGAGAAAATTTGTGATTTTTTAACTCTATTCATATGCAGATGGTAAAGGTTTATGAGGGTAACATTGAAGCAGAAGAGGAAGTATCTATTCCATCTTTTGCATAATTTCACCCCAAAGAATTGCTGTGAGAAATACCAGGAGTGAAGACATTGTCCACATTTTTATCTGTAGATCTCTCTACACAATCATTTTGTCACCATCTTTGCTCCATTTTCACTCAGGCTTTTCTGTGACTGTGGAACCTACTGTTCCGTGACAATGGAGCCAGACAAGGCTTCTTCCTGTCTGTGATCTGGAAAACTCACTGTTGGCACTTTCCCAGTGTTGAAAGGAAAGATCAAATCTGAATATTACGTAAAATGCCTGTTTTACACCAGTGTAGACTTTTTCAGTTTGTGGAACATCTTCACAAGTTGTATCTCATTTACTGTTCAGAACAACCCTGTGAAGTAGTTTGGTAAAGTCTGTATTATATTTCATATTGTAATTTAGCCAACTACCATTCCAACTGGCTGAAAATTCTATATATAGCTTAAAACAAGGGAGAGAAATCATTTTCAGGTCTCCCAGTTCACTCATCCAACTTTCATCCTACCTTGCAATTAGTTGCTATTTTCCAATTTAATTGATTTCTTTTACTTTCTGCTTACTTTCTCACCACTCCCTTGCATGTACATTCATTTCAGTTATTGCCAGGCCTTTCTTTTTAAGTTTTAATGGATAGATCTCATTCCTGTCACTATTCATCAGACATTCTCTTCATGGCACATTTCCTCCTAATGTTAGCATTTGCTGAGTGTACACTGTGACTCTTTCTGTACAGTAAGAATTTATTTTCTGAGCTTGGGTAAATGTGTGTGTGTGTGTGTGTGTGTGTGTGTGTGTGTGTATGTTTCATATGTCAGATGATAAATATTATTTCTATGCTGTTAAGATGGGAAATGAATTTCTGTTTCATTATTTCCATTTTTAAAAAGTGTTTGCCGGGGACTTCTGCTAACTAATACTTTATTATTTGCTCTAGTATACTAGTCCAATACTACTTGCATGTAGATGCCTGTAGATTACAGTTAACTGTGGCACTTTGACAGTGCACTAAAAATTTGCCACTACGACATGTTTCTGTAATGTGTGTGTATTGGTATATACATATGCTCACATACATTTTAAAAGTGGTTGTATTCATTTAGAGAAAAACAAAAAGTAGGCATAATTTTTTAAATAAAAAATGCTTGGGATTTTATTGTATCTACCTGTTTAACAGTTTTCCCTCTTTGCTTTGAAAATATTTGTACTCCTAAAGGTGTATTTCAAAAATGTTTTTATTCATTAAAGCCTCTTAAATAGACCACTATTTTTTATTTTTTCATAAATGGCAGATAAGTACGTCAGAAATTGAGATGAACACAACAGTTGTGAGAATAAAATAAATTTATAAGAATAAAGAGAATTTAATGTCATGAATTCCTTTCTTTAATTCCTTAAGCCACCCTCTTCCAAATTAAAAACAAATAATAAACTATTATTTTTTCTACTTATTACTGGAATTTTCAAAGGACAAATGTTACTTTTCTCAAAGATAACTGCCTTTTTTGTTTGTTTGTTTGTTTGTTTGTTTTGGTTCTTGCCATAGGCATGTGCACTCCTCAGAGAGAGGCAGACAGTGAGAAGGAAAATGAGAAATCACCTTCCGAGGGGATGGTCACACTGCAATCCCTTCTCCATTTTCCTCCTGGGATTTTGGGCACACATGCACACATGCCTGGTGTGATTTTTAAGACACCAGATCTGAGACTTGAACCATGTTCACCCAAGTGGAGTCCAGTGCCTTAGCCACCACACCACCTACTAGTCCCAGAGAAAACTGTTTTTAATCCATCCATGGGCTCATAAGATTTCATTGAAAAAATTGTTCAAATTACTTCTCTTAGCACCATTTCCTAGCAAAATGTTGGAGAACTTTATGCTTTCAAGGTAAGAAGTTTAATTTCTGTTGTTGGTGGTATAAAGTTGCCATCACTCCTTTTAAAAAATGGTATAGGTTTTCATTTCATCCTAATTTCTTTCCCCTTCTCCTCAGGTTTTGGTTTATTAAAAATTCTTGCAAAGATGGGGACCAACATTTGACGTAATGACTGTCACTTGACACCCAAGTAGTCGACCACAGTTCAAGTCCCAGACCCAGTGGCTTAAATTCATGCTGGGCAGGTGTGCGTGTGTGCCCAAGATCCCAAGAGGAGAATGGATGAGAAGGGATTGTGGCATGGCTATCCTCCCGGGGGATGATTTCTTGCTTTCTGTCTCACTCTGTCTTTATGGCGAGTGCCCTATAGCAAAAACTTCTCAAAAAAAAAAAAAATTCTTGCCAAGATGGCTTAAAAATAAGTATGTTTCTAGGGACTCTGTTCATTATGTTGGTAATGACTTAATAATATATTGACCTTGATGTCATTTTTTATAATTAACAATATGTTTCAGTAGTAGGAGTGAAACATGGATAGACTATGAAATTTATTTATCTCTGTAACCTAAAGTGTTTGTGTTGAACCCTGGAAATATGAGAAGGCAATTTGTAAGCTTGAGGTTCCTCTGTATTTATTTCAAATTAACCAGTATTTATAGAATATCATTGTAAAAGAAATACAGCATACATATTGAGGATCTCATGAGAAGAATAATATGACCCTGACCTTTAAAGAGATTATAGATGATGGGAGGAGATTCAAAAATAATATTTCAAAACAATTTAAAAACATAAAATTTAATTTGGTACCAAATTACCTGAGAGGTGGGGAAAAAATAAGAATAATGAGGAATATATTCTGGACACAGATGAGAGGCAGAAAATATGTTTTAATAGAGGAGAAAGATCAATAGGATGCTGTTTTAGAAAGGCTAATGTAGTGGAGGTGCACAATGTGTATTAGATGAGAAAGACTGAAATAGGAAAATCAATGAGAAAGATTTGTAGCAAAGAGTGGAATAATGAAGCATGAAGCCAGAAAAAGGAAACTACTAGAGCAGTGTCAGTGGGAATAAAAAGAAAGGAACAAATATTGGAAATATTTGAAAATAATGTTCAAATACCACTTCAAATATCGATATTAAAATATACAAATATTGATATTCTAATATTAATGCCTCCTTGAGAGCAGGAGAGGAAAAAAGATAGAGGTGATAAAAATTAAGTTTCCTTGAGAACTATAATCTATTTTTACATTCAGAATGATTGAAGGAAGTAAGTAAAAGTCCTTTTCAGAAATGAATGTATAAAGATGATGTGTTTAGTTAAATGATCATTGATAAACAGAATTATCCTGCATAAACTATATATATTGTGGTTTATTTACTTTCGAGAAGATAGCAGAGGGTCACTTCCTCTTTCTTGGTTCCTTAGAACATTCTCAGAATTACTTTAACAGTTCTGAACGTATTAATTCCTTTTGAATTACCAGATATCTCAACTTGTCGTAAATGATTTAGATCTGTACTGACCAATATGGGAGCTACTAGTTGTATGTGTCTATTCAGCACTTGAAATGTGATTAGTGCAATTAAGGGACTGAATTCTTAATTTCTTATTTTTAAATTATTTATTTTGCATTAATTCACTGAACATCATCACAGCATAAAAGATGCAGTTTCCCATCTGGAATACACTGTATAGTGGGTTAGTCATATATGTTATCATCACAAATAATTTTTCCATTTCTGGCATATATATATATATACATATATACCCCCCCATTTCTCACCCTCTTCCCACTCTATAACTGATATCTGTAGTTGCTTTCCATTCCTTTTTCCCCCACGTTTTATTGGTTAACAAAATATCTTAATTGATATAACTACTTTCAATAGCAAGTTCAGCTGATATATAAATATCTATGAGCAAATGTTTGACTTTAGGCATGAAACTGTGAGTAGAATGAATATGGTGTAAAATAACACCTAGCTGAGGCAACATAGCTTACCGTGGTCATTAAATACATATTTTTAATATGTTTTTTAATTTAAAGAAAGGCAGTTTTAGCTTTAATCAAAATAAATTTAAAAAAAAGTTAAGATAACTTTGCTTAAGACTTAAAGTCAGGAAGGTTAGGATTCAGT